GAGGCGGGAAAACCGCGGGCCGTTCGCATACCAGCGCGGGCAGCCAGCAAACTCCATGCGGGTCCGAGCTGGCGCCCCCACCGGCCGGACCCGCCGGCGCTACATTATCATTGAACCTGGTCACAGCTTGGAGTAATACCAAAAAATGGTATCCAGTAGTGTTTTTGGTTGTACAATAAGACGAAGTGCAGATTCCAAAAAGAAAGGGATCTGGTTCTTCAGATTTCCCAAGTACAAAAAGCAGCGAATCGAATAGGTACAGTACATGTAGACTGAACATCAGTACACATTTACAAATGCACAGGTTGGCTCCAAGAACACCAACGATGTAATTCATACTATGACGGAAGGGGGCCATACAAAGAGACGGCGATCTCGTGCGCACAGGAAAAGTATAACGATTATAAAGTATTTTTAAATAGCACTAAAAATTTCGCTTAGATAAGAAACTAAGAGCAAAACCGATTTAATGGGATTCCTGATGAAAAAAAAACTGAACCAAGCCAGAAAATGAGAGAAAATGACCATCAAAGTCGCACTCCTGTACCTTTTCAGCGGCCCGCTCAGGCTTCTTGCTGCCAAGGTCTATAAGCCTTTCTAAACATTTTTGCAAATTTGCTTTAAACGGAAGGGATGTTTTTGTGGTTTCCGAGATAACCTTCAGGTTTGTGGAGGATTACGTCCCAAAGGGCTCCAAAAGCAGGTAAAGGCTTCAATTATTATTCCGGAGCCTACATTCGTAATCTGAAGGGTAAGTAATTTATTAACGAGATTTTATCTGGGACATTTTTTACGTTGCATGCATGCACCGTTTCTGTCCAGGCCTAAACGGCCGGTTGCCGCCACGAGCGAGCTGTTTGAAGACCGTTTTGTCATTCGGCGGGTTACTTACTGGGCTATTTCCTTTCAAAGTTCAGAATTCTATAGATGCTAATTCGAGTATTGCAGACGTTATTTCATTAACCTGGACGCCATCAATCATGGAAGGGCAAGACTGGAGCAATGGAATTGCACCAAAGTGCTCTAACGTGTACGGTGTAGGGCCAGTGATTACAATTTTTTATACGAACATCTTAAGCGCCCAAAGAAGTCGTTCAAAGTCACAATCTACCTTACATATTGGCCCCTCGTCTCGGCAGAATCTTGTTCTTTGAAAATCGATGAAAGCTAATTTCTGGCGATGACCTTCGTGACTACTACAACGCGGCCAGAACCATGCTTCGCCAAGTTCGCCGACAGCGCGGAATCCCCTGCAGCCTGTTTTGAGTTCCGGTGCATACAATTTGCATATATTAAGAAAGGCCTTTAAAAACCGTAAGCACTGCCAAACAAAATGTGCCAGACTACAGCCAAGAGATTCTGACGTGGCCTTGGGCAGACGTGCGTGGCAAGCCCAAGTCTTACGTTGACTATTTTAAAAACGCAAGGCGCAAGTTGATAGGCCAAGTTTAAAACTGTAATGAGTTCGATGGAATGTTTTCTGTCTTGCGTTGGTAGCAAGTCATAATATGCAAGTCCACGTCAAGTTACAAGTCAAAAACTGGTAGTTAAACGTCAAGTCAGAAGTCATAAAAATAGGGTCTGACTCGAGTCCAAGTGAAGTGACTCGAGTCTACAACTCTGGTAGTTTTTAACACAATCGTGTTTATTTTATGAGAGAAGCTATCAAATCGGAGCGAGCCTTAATACAAGCTCGCAGTTAAATGACATCAAATTAAAATCCAAACGAGTCGTTTTCCTGGGCTATCAGAACAATAAAGGGGCTTCAAACAACTCTTGATCATTTTAGGTAAAAACAGAAAAAAAGAGTTATTGCCACTGAAACGTAACTACATACTAGCTTTCAACGTATGTATTTTTTCATAGTGACGAGTTTATGCAACAGCAAAAAGACCGACAGACAGGACCGCAGTCATTACAAAATAGATCTTCAAAAGTCTCCAAAACTGACGTGCCGTGTACAGAATCACTTGAATGATGGATGCATTCATATCAAAACCAAAGTTCTGCACAACTTGTGAAGGTTAAGTAACAGATAGAATAGAGGTTCTACACCTATATTGTCAAGCTTGTTAACAAGAATTCACAACTTTTATCTTTAATCTGTTTGAAGTCTTACACCCCCCATGCTAAGGACACTTTAAATTAGCACAGGAAAGGTGCAAGTCTATTCTTCCTAGTAAAGGATCATTCGAGTTTTGAGCTCTTCATCCGATTTCTCTCTCTTCCTTACAATGAGCCAGTACGGTATTCCAACATGCCTCGAATGAAGTGCGCCCAAGGTAATTCAGATGTGAACGCGAGGTCTGCCCTACTCGCCCAGCCCAACGCAGGACTCCTACGCGTGCCTTGCTCCCGAATGACCCTTTTTTTGCAACAAGGCTCTTGCTAACAACTAAAGCAAGAGAGCTGGATCCTACACTATGGAGTGGCGTGGTACGGTCTGTCCATGAATCCAACCCAGTGTTTATTACTGTTGCATTACGAATGTGTGTTCCCACTGAAAGTGGGGATAAAGCCCTTTGAGGAGAACCAAAGACCCATTTTACATCAGAGGCTAGGCGGGTGAACAATAACATAAAGATATACAAATGAAGTACATGTATACAAAGGATGAATCTGCTCGTGAAATTCTCAAGCCAAATCTACGAAGTAATATGCCCAATTCCCTTTTAACAATTTGAATCTAGTTTTATTTCTAGTCAACATTTGACATAAAAATTCCTGAAACCCAAGCTTCTACTTCTTTCCATATGCTGGACGTACACTAGAATGAATATTAATGAATGGTTCATCCTACCCAATAAAAAAATGAAATGTGATATTTCTATGAAAAAAATGAAAAAAAAAAAGTCTTCTTTCCAGATTATGTTCCCTGGTTCCCCTTTGGAGTCACTATTTACTCTCGACCCAATACCACCCTATTTGTTGTTTTGTCCAAACAAAACGACCCCTTGCCTCATCCTTATAACTCATCCGTCTTCGATTTCTTCTTCTTGCCCACATTGACAGGCTTTGTGGACTCCTTCTTAATAAATTTGATGAAGTCGTCTACCTCACGCCCACCTTGGTACTTCTTAGGGTCGGACTTGCTACCCATGGGCGCCCAGTATATAGTGGGAAACCTGGAGGAGGGAAAGTCCAGTTGTTAGTTAGGCTTCTACTGGCAATAGAAGACATGCTTGAGAATCTACACACGTTTTGCTGGTATCAAAAATGTACGTTTTCACCCAATGTACAGGCTCTGTCAAGGTGTTTCATGATATGAACTGCCAACGAAACAAAAGACTTTGGATGGTACGCAATAATGATTCATAAACAGGAAAAAAAAACGAGACTTTTGTAGACTGGGATCTGATAGGCCTCTTAACTGATGACGTTATCCTCATCGCATTGTCATCCTCACCTGGAAGGCATAGGAAAGCGTACATGCAAACAAAGTGTAACGTCATCAGCACAGAGGTTTATATACATGCCCGTCGCAGGAATTGTTTCACCAAATGCTGAGGTCCCGGCCAGAAATCTAAAAGTTTCTTTTTGTGGATCGATGCAAAATTTCATTTGGCCCACAAACGCAACTTGGAAATGTGTGCAGACATTATGTGTCTGAAAGATGAACAACCGGGAGTCCAAATCAGCTGCCTCTCCAGCTCATTTCTGAATTAAAGCCCCAAGAATATTTATGAGGTTCCTTGCTGAGTGATATTGACGTCATATCTCCTCCATAGCTTACCCAGACACTGCGTATTCAGCAGGTGAATCGTTAGCAGTGGCATCCATCTTGGCAATGACAACATGCTCTACGTCTTTCAACTGGAAAAAAAACCAAAACAAAAAACAAGTTTAATGAACATTTCAAATAAGGTCATACTAACATTTTGATTTGAGACACCGTTTGGTGGGTTTGACAATTAACTTCCCCCCACCCAAATGACCATGTCTCAATTGACAATGTACACGCCCTGTATATATACACTCACAGGCCTGCAAATCAGCGCACATGGCGTTCATGGCAGAAACAAAAATGCATCCATATCCAGGCAAAAGCGAACAAGATGTTGATATGATTAACACTTTTCCTAAGGCAGCAGTATGAATCCTTGCTGGCGAGTAGAGGGAGGGAAAGAGGTGACCAAATCTGAAAATTGCCGATCTGTGGATAATTGAAAATGGGGATTGGAGAGAGAACTAGACAGCAAGTTACACTAGAGGTGCATTTCATGATAAGCTCGTACGTCTTACGCATTCTTGCATGATTGATTACTTCAACATTGTATGACAATGGTACTCTCTGTGCTGTTTATTCTGTGTTTCAATTACTCTTTTGAAATATATGTATTTAGCTGTTGGTTTGTTATAAAATAATCCAAATTATGCAATTTCTTTTATATACCGCCGAAATGTAGGGATGGATCAAATGAACCGCGCCCTTGATTAGAAGAGCTAAGAAAATACCCCAAATATCTCCATGAGCTGGAAGGTTAAAGGTTAATGCATTCCCTAGCAAGCTATGATGCCCATCAGAGTCTACCAGGATGACTGGACAGAAAGGGTAGCAGCAACTGGATCCTACTTCTGCCACCACTTTTGGAGCAATGGGAAATAATGAACAGGAGCTGCTGGTCACTGACCTTCTCCCCGAGTTCAGTGTACTTGGGCTCCAGAGATTTGCAGTGACCGCACCACGGAGCATAGAACTCAATGAGGACATCTTTGGTGTCGTCCTTGACAATGTCATTGAAGGTGCTACCCACCACTACCTGCAAGAAAAATGACAAGAGTTATTGGGCTCTCCACAGGAAACAGAATTCACTGCAACGACAAAAACATTATCGAACAAATTCCTCATAGGCAAAGTTTCATTTGAAAAAGCTCTCCCGGCTGGTCTTTCATGACAGAAAAGAAAAGAGGAATCAACTGTACCTTGACAGGACCATCATTACTTGCTGGTGCTGGCTCACTTTTGATAAATGGTTTGATTTCTCCAGCCAAAAACTTCTTCACAAAGGCATCAAGGGCTTTGCCGTCGTTTCTGTTAGCCATCAAACATGAAAAGTACAGTACTTTTTTTTTCCACAAACATGAAAATCAAAAAAATATACTGGTTCAGTTAGCGATCAGAGGACTACTCAAATTGTGTCATGGCTCTTATAATTAGATTGGACAGCAAATGGTCACATGTCCAGTCTGTAAAAGTGACACCATCAACAAATGCCACGATGCATAAACAGGTGCATTCTCTGTGAAAATAACCGTTCAAGTGGTCGTTTTTTGAGGAGACTATTTTGAGAATTTGAAACAAGTTTAGACAATAGCGGACAAATGAAACATATGTTAAGCACATGATGGAGTGTATCTTTTCCACATTCTGAAAACTCACTGAAGCCCTTTTTAACAGTTAATGAAAACTCAACACCTAACTACACCTGTAGAATCCCTGCTTCTCTAAACCCTTCCAGGCAACTGGATAATGGTTGAACTTACGTAAAAGCTTCCTCCATCTTGAATTTCTCTCCATTAGACTGCCAGGCAACAACTTTGACATCATCATCTGACTTAATATCCATCGACTCAAGAACTCCTGAAAAGTCACTTTTTGAGGCAATGGCAAAGGTCAAGCCCTCATCTTTGTAGTTCTTGGCCACTTTCATGACCCTGCAAATGATATCAAGATCTCCAGTTAGTCACAAACTCAAAAGTTAGAAAAATCAATTATACAAAAAAAACCTGATTTTTACACTGAACTTGAAAAGCACTTGCTATTCATTTTTCAAGGTTTTCTTAGCTGTTCTTTAAAGTTGTTTTATGCTGACAGTTTGCAGACTTCCACTTTGTAGTTTGCAGGTTTCTACATGAAATCTCAGGTGGGGCTTGTGTAACAAGGCAAAAAAACTAATTAGACAAAGTTTCAACTCACCTGTTGCGGTAATAGTTGGTACCTAAAACAGATAAGACAAAGACCATTAACTGTAAGTATACTGTCACAGACAAGTCCAAAGCACATTTTCGAGAGGAGCATCATTTTTGGAGATGGGGGAGTTGAAAGAAATCGGAGACTTCTTTGCGTTATGTTTTATGGCCTTTCTGGGGGACAAGGCCGAGGTTTGGGGCTTTTGCTTTGATAGAAAATGATGTAGCACAAAAGTTTTCTAGATTTTTATACTTTGCTATTGAAGATTTCCATTTCCTTTGATGATTTATTGTTGTGTATGTAAATGGCAATTAGCCAGCGCGCAACCTTTTCCAAGAAATGTTTTTAAAGAGCAAATTTGGGGTTCAACATTTGAACACGAAGACATGCAACATGAACAGTGTCTTCCTGGATTTACATCCCACCTACAGTGAAGTCAATTGTAGGGAAAAGTTTGGTCAATTTTGAATGTTCAGAAGTGCAATTTACAGTTCACTTAACTCCGAAAAAACAGTTTTTAAATATTGCAAAAAAGTTAAACACGCACAAAAAATAATTCTAAGAAATACCCACTACATCGTTCCTTTAAAAGGAGCCATCAGATGGAACATTTGTGAGCACAAAGACGAACCAATGTTTGTAATTTGGAATTCAGTCTTGTTTTCTGAAATCTGGTTGAGAGAGTGCCTTCAGTCAAGGGTGCATGAAAAATGTGACTGAGCCTCAGAAATGATTCGCCAGTCACCACAACCCCTTTTTGAGCTGAAGATCTCTTTTTTAAGAATCTTCCACGATGTAGAAGTCATCAGGAGCTCTCTGTATTTTCACTCTATTTATGTTCATTGACAAGGTGCCAAACTGGGTGATACCAAACGAAGAGCTAAGTTTGTTTTTCCAGATGCAAACTAAACCAAAATCTTTGAAAAAAGCATTACAACATATTTTATGGGTTTGGTTGCAAATGTTGAATTGTGAAACATGAAGACTAGAAATAAAACACAGTTATTTAAACCAAAATAAAATTACCCTTCGTATCATGGAAGTGTGGATTTCAAACAAGTGGATGAACATCAATTACTTTCAGGAAAGAGAATTTTTCTGATGACACACCTTTAGGATTCTGTTTGTAGTCAACCTTATAATAGGCCACAACTTGCGGCTTCTTGAACAGGTCCTGGTTGTCCGGTGTCATGTGACCGCAAAGCCCCATGCTGAGAAGACAAATACAATTGAGTGTTAGTAAGCTCTAAAGACAGGGGGCATGGTCACTGTATGTGAAAATGGCAACAACAAAGTATTATTCAAATGTTACATTTTTTCAAAGACTTGTTCATACTCACCTATTATCCCCAGCAAACTTCTCTATGTTGGCCCTTGTAATGGCGGCCGACATCTCTACTTTGTTGTCTTCAAATTTGTTATTTAGGTGCACAGGTCGGAAGAGGACAACAGCACTGTAACAAATTAGGGATAGAGTACTTATTTCAAAACTCCCCCCAACCAAAATTTATTTTTAAAAAATTGTCTTCATCATGCAAGTGAGAAACACCGTAATGCTGCCCAATGACAGCAGAAAGTTTTCAAGGAAGGAGGGCAGCTGGTGCGAGATCATCATGCATTAGCCATTAATGGGCCGATACATTAACTCTAACAGCCCTGAATCCTCCAATTTTAATATGATTTTGCACATACCATAGGAAGTTAGGGTTTACCCCCATCCCATTGTAAGCAAAAAGAGGGTGGGAGGTATCCAGTTGAGCAAAAAGGGGGACCACTGAACCCCCCGTCCATCCACTTCCGCTGCCGGTGATGCAGCCCACACCCCACACTGTAGTGTCATTCATTCAGAGGTGGTCTCAAAAGCAGGTGTATTAAGAAAAGGTGGATGGATGGTGACTTTGAGAGAGAGTTTTAAAGTGAGGTTGGTGGTGAGTTCATGAGGTGGACAGATGGCAGAATGTTCATTTAACAGGGGGTAGATGGCAAGGTTAGGTGTTAGGTTGTTTCAAAGGGAACTGGTGGTGATTTCTTTGAAAGGGGGTTTGATGGTCAGGGGTTTTGGTGGGGAGGTGAGTGAAAAAGTTTATTTATAAGGGGATGGATAGTGAGTTTATTTGATAGGGTGGGTGGTGAGTTTGAGGCGTGCTTGTTTCAAAGGGGACTCGTGGCGAGCTCATTTGAGAAAGGGGACAGATGGTGAGTCAAGTTGAAGGGGATACGGTGATGAGTCTGTTTACAGCAGTTATTGGACAGATAGAAGAGGGGAAAAATGGCTCAACAACATTGAAAGATACCCTCAGTGGGCGTATCCATGCAGGGCTATTTAATAATTGATTAATTAATTAAGATGATTTTAAGCAGGAGAAAAAAAAGGATGTCTCCACCAATTTCTTACTGAGTGTGGCCAAATTCTTTATTGACTTCTTCAGAGAGAGAGTAAACCACTTTGTAGTTGGTGAAGAGGTTGGAAGCAGCCTTGACAAGGTTTTCTTTCTCTTTGCCTTCTTTGGAGAAAAAGCCTGGGAAGAGAGCATGGAGACACATGCGGCACTTAATGCAGTCAGGGAAGGACGCAGGACATTTTTCCAAAGGAAGAAAATGCCTATCAGATTGGTTTTATGCATAATTGTTGAGGACAAGTGGATGCAGTGGGTGCACAGGTAGTACATTACATTGTTACTGATGCACTTAATTTTACACATGTAGCTGGATGTCATGTTTGTTTATTACTGTAGCTGTTACTCCATAAACCCCTTTGCGCCGGGAGACGGTAAGAGCCACCGTTGAAATAGAGATCCTCAGCCCGCTTTTCAGCTATTATTCTCTGCCCAGGCTCGAGCGAACACGATGAAAGAAGGCAGACCCTGGCTCTTGTATATATGGTGATTGGCCTTTGTGTGTAGCCCAGAAATGAAAAGACCGAATTTGCATCACAATCACCAGCTTCACAATAGTCCCCACTTTGAAAAGAGCCAACAGGAATGTGAAAGCATGAGGAGAGCCGCATGCCTCCAAACAATGAGCCTTTTCACCTTGTAATTCAAAGCGTGCAGAGCACGCAGGGCCACAAACTGAGAATTTACGGTTTGGCAGGTGGCCTTCGTGGGCAAGCGAGGCTGGAATTCTTGGAGTTGGCTTTCGAAAAAAATTTCCGTCGTCAAGGGGTTAAAAAACTATTTTTTTCCTTGGCTTCAGAGCAGGGGCAGGTTTACCCCTCCCACAATATCTGCGCCTGCATGTTTTTTTTAATATGAATTGGTGATCCCTGTTTTTTTGTTGACAAATATGAAGCCTCTGATGATCCTGTATGCTACACGGTAAATACATTACCATAACTTAACACCTTGACTGCCAACTACGAGTATAGATGCACTCGTAGTGACAGGTGTACCGGACTCTGCCACTATGCGTCTACTCATAGGAAAAAAATGGAAGGCTATTGTAATGTAAATTGAATACGCTGGCATCACTGAAGAACACAGCAAATATGCTGCTGTAAAATGGTCATGTTCAAACACACACCTTAAATGTACCTATTAAATATGCTCGCATGCGTACAATGCTTGGCAAATGGGAACACCCCTTTGTAATTATGTGCGGCAGTCAACGTTTAATACATGTCAACCTGTTTAAGCATTAGCTCAGTTGAGTTGAAGCTGGCGTGGTGGCTTAACCTGTAGCCAGCTTGTGATCACACATCCTCAGGCACGAGGTGGCTGAGGCATACTCCACGATATATTTATCAGCGGAACAACTTGGTTTCCTGGTGTATACGTACCAAATGACCGCTGAATCCTATTCATGTAAATTAATGGTACTTAAAGGAAAGGACAGTCATCAAAATTCAGAAATAAATTTTCCCTGCAGTACGACGTTTCAACAACTTTTCCCTCTATCTGTTCATGTGCTCTGCAGAGACAGGAAGCTGCTGCAAGTGCACTGAGAGAAAGTTGTTCTTGACAGGGCTGCAGAAACGTGGGTCTCCCTTTATGGGGGGACAACGAATCCTCACCTACAACGACGGGCTGTTGGGCATTGTCCAGTATCTTCTGCAACGACTTGACATCACTGACTTCTTTCGCCATTGGCCCAGACTGTTTCTTCATTGTGCTGACAATGCCATCTTTTCAGACAAAAAAGAAAATCGAGAGCTTTTTCACAACTGCCCCTTTACACAAAACTCACGAGACAAGAGGCATTGTGTCTGTGTCAGTGATTTCCTAATCAGCCTGAAGTGGATGGAGTTGGAAGAGGAAAAAGTACCCAGCATCTATGATAGGGAGTTACAAACCTGAAGCCACACATTTACAACAGCTAGAGACAAAAGAAGTCTGTATATTCGCATATGTGCCAAGTTTAGTCAAGCCCAAAATGCTGTTTCAAAATTCCCTGCCAGACTTCTTTGTTGTTTTTTTCTGGAGAGTATTTCTCTTCAGCAAATACTTTGGATGAGAAGAATACATGTAAGTTTGTTTCTTTATTTCATCTTGTGCTGACAGAGCCTTTGGATAGTTCCAAGCAAGGAAAACAAGGAAAATCTACCTGCACTTCTTGGCCCGTCATATTCCGAAGAGAAGTCCCCATTCCTGAAAATCTTCAGGGTTGGGTAGCCTGACACACCATATTTAGAGCATGTGTCCTTGCCCCCTGCATCATCAGTACAGTCAACCTTGGGTAACAAAAAAAATGCACCAAAAGGTCAATGGATTTAATGACGTAGAGTGTTAGTGCCTAGGGGACAGAGATATACATTTTGTTCTTCTGTCTCCGTGTCTTTATGATTTGCAGGTCCATGGCAAATCTCAATCCCCTCCCACACATTTTGTCGAAACCTACTGATCTGTTTACTTCTCTAAATTTACTTCTTCAAAGCATGTCAGCCATTGATCATCCGAGTATTAAATGTTTACTGGTTGCACCAAAAAATAGAGGCTTTGCATGGAAGCCATCTTGCAGGCTAGTTCTCCAGTTCCATAGGGGAATCTCGTTTGTATATACCCCTGGAACAAACGCATTGACCTGCAAGATAGCAGCCACGCAACCCCTCTTAAGACAACTGCACGCCAGAGGTTGAAGATACAATGAGCCGGATCATTCAGAAGATGATGTGGACGGGCCCCACCTTGCACCACCAAGTTTCAGTCCCACATTTGCCGTCTGAGGTACGGCTGCGATCAACTATAGAGGGATTTCACATTAGCGCCCTCTGTGCATATCGGTATCAAAACCGAGGCTTTCTGTGTTGAACTTGGTTATGTGCGCCCAACGGAGTCGACGCTATACATGCAGTATCCGGTTCGTAAGTGTGACGCCACTTCAGTTTAAACCACACCCACTGCACAAGATACACGACCATCGCAGGTACGTTAGTTCACGGTAAAT